AGTAACTCAATTAGATTTCCTCTATTAAGAGACTCTTTCGATTCATCATGACCACGAAATGACAATCCTTGCATCAAGAGAAATCTAGTACAATCTAGCACAGCATTCAACCTGGTCCTATAACTTTGTTGTTGACTACTACTTTGGCTAGACATAACATATGAGACACTTTGCTTTTGATTCATCAAGTTGGTACACTTTGCAAAAGCTTGATTATGAGCATTATCAAAGAAACTGACATGATCTTTCAATGTCTTTTTGTGCTTCCAATCCCTAAAGCCAGTCTTAGTAAATATATGGCCACCCACTTGACCCCCTCTATCAGGTTTGAATAAGTAGCAATGCAAACAATACGTCACATCCTTTTCTATACTGTATTTCAACTAATAAAATTCGGAGAACCATTCTTTTTAAAAACATCTATTATCATTTCCCATCGATTTTCTTGGAAAATCATGTCCATATGGTTGACAAAGACCCTTCTCCAAGTATGAAATCTTAACATTATCTCTGATATTAGGATCATACGACTCGATAGGAGGGCGTATCCCTAGATCAGATATAAGATCATCCACATTAAATTGAGCCCGAGACTTCTTTGTGTTATTCAATAACTCTTGTGCTCGACTAGAATCAGTGGCGGGACTAGATGCACAACTAAAAGTAGAAGAATTGGGTATGGACTTTCGTTTTGGTTGAAAAAATCGTTCCATAATCTGCAAATGTCCCAATTCATTTTACAATTACAATTGATTAAAAAAATAACCAAGAACACACGGGTTATAAAACCAACAAAGAATCAGATTAATGGACACAAGAACATCATGTTTTCTGGTTAAATTTTATCAACCACTTGTAGGGAATTTCACCCCAGTCAATCTGCCATTACAAGAGGAAATTATTACAGTAATTATTACACTAAAATTATTGTTTGCCCACTAACCACTAACCAGTCAACTAGAGTAATCATATATCCAATAATGTTTAATCATATAGGTTTTTATAATGTTCCAACTTCCAACCCTATTCACAACTATTGGTGGTTTGATCTGGTATTTCAAGAATTGAAATTGAACCATAAATTTCGATTCTTTTGTATTCAATCACTATAGCAAAATTGAAATCGAACGTTATGATTCCGGTTCTAAATTTCAATTCAATTCTACAAAAATAAATATTCTCCTAAAAATTCACAATTCAATCAATAGACATTAGGCAATTGAGGGAAAGCCAGAAAAAATAGAACAAAACCAAAATCCAACAAAATCCTAAAAAATTAAATATTCTCCTAAAAAAATTCACAATTCAATCAATTCAACTTGAGTACAATAACAAAATTCAACAAAATCAAAAATAACCAAATCAAAATAGAACAAAACCAAAAAAAGAACAAATAAATAAATAAAGAGGGAAAGCTGAAAAAAAAAAAAGATTTACCACTTACCAGTCGGAATCGGCAGTCTCGACAGGTGGCAGCAGGAGCAGGCGCTTCGGGCCTTCGAGTTCGAGTTTCGGTCTACAGTCGGCAGCGATTGGCACTAGATTTTCTGAACCAGAAAATGAAAGTGAAGAAGAAGATCCCAGCCGGTAGCCAACGAAGTCACGAACTGAAAATCTGGAAGGGCAAATGAGTATTAATATGGGTAATGGGTTTGGACTTTGGATAAATTAATTTTACTTTTGGGCTAAATAATAAGAGGCCCAAAATTTTGTGCAAAAGCCCAAATGAACAAAAATAAATAAATCAATCAAACGAGTTTCCATCTTCTTCTTCTCCAAGCGACTCGACGACCGTCGGCGACTACACAGGTGACACTGCCCGGCGGCTCTGCAGATTTCGACGAAGCCAGCATGCGTGGTCGCTTTCCTTCGTCGGGTGCTGGCTTTGGGCCTGACCACCATTATTGAGCTTGATTAAAATGTTACCTCTTCCTTTTACTGGAACTTTGTAGAGATCGTCAAAAGGGACATGGCCATACATAGTTTCATCAAGCTCCATGAACATATGCTTTTTCCCACACATATGATAGCTTGCTCCAGTATCTACAAACCATATATTTTAATTATCTGTTGTTGTATGATGAGCCATCAATATCAGAGATTTTGGCTCACTTGTATCATCAAAGTTGGTATCTCCGCCGACTTCAACTTCAACAATTTTTGCATGACATTCATTGCCATTATGTCTATATTTATGACAGTTATAACACTGCACGTTCCTTTTGTCACCAATTTGATAATTAAAACCATTTATGCATCTTTCTTGTCCATTTCTTTTTCATCTACCTCAACATCTATATTGTCTTCTTCCTCTTTGATAAAATTGCTATTGAATTTCATGTCCACTATTGATGTTAAATCTTCCTTCTCCTTCTCTATTATTAAAACCTCGTCCTCTTTGAAATCGCCTCATTCCTCGATTTGGCTGTGAATTTCCTTTATCTCATTTATTTTTCTAAAGAGAAAGCTTTGATTGCAATGCTTGATCAAGAGATTTTGATGAAGTTTTTTTTATTGATCCGTTGTTTATGGATCTCTAGAGAAGCCAACGAAGGATTTTTTCTATTACCTGCAAATCTTTGATCTTTTCTCCATTGCTCTTGACATTATTCACTATAGTGAGGACTCGAGTAAAATACTCTAAGATTGACTCGCTATCTAGCATCTCCAATATTTCAAATTCCCTTTTCAACTTTTGTAGGCGAATTCTCATTGTCTTTTCGATACCTCAAAATGAATTTCGAAGTACATCCCATGCTTCTTTTGCGTTTATAATAGAAGCAATCTTCTCAAAATTTTCTTCATGTACTATGTGATATATGAGATACAGGGCGCTTTGATCTTTCTTCCTTGCTTTCTTGAGTGTTACCTTTTCAGTTGCACTTAATACGTCTTCATCGGTTTTAGACCTAAGTTCTGTATGACATTTCTCCACCATTTTCCATAGGTCTTGGGATGCTAAGAGCACCTTCATTTGTATGCTCCAATTCTCATAATTCTCTTTTGTCAGCCTTGGTAGCTGTGGCTGGAAAAAAACTAGTTGAGGAAGCCATATCGAACTAAAAACAAAGATTTTATCACTTTCTTTTTTATTCTTTCTTGGCTCTGATACCACTGATGGGTAGAAGTTGTGATAGAATATCTCTCTTTCACTCAAATAAACAAACTTTCATTAATCACACAATATATAACTAGTACAATAGAGCAATTCTCTCTCAAAAACTCTCTCATACAAGCGTGAAAATTTCTCTTCTACCTGATAGTTTAAAATACATGCCAATACACCTATTTATAGGCAAAAGATAAGAAATGTTCAACATGATCAAGTAACTCTCTTTAACCTCCTTTGGTAGAAGAAGTATTCAAAATGAACAAATAACTTCCACCTCCATTAAAGGAAGAATTCAAAATGATTAAGTAACTTCCACTTCCTTTAGAGAAGAAGATTTCAAGATAATTAAACAACTCTTTAATAGCTATCGACCAATCACGAGCTTTTCCTTAGCCATGTAATATTCTTCTATCCAATAAAATATTTTTGATTAATCAAGTAGAATTTTGACTAAGTCATATATTCATCTTCATACTTCTAAAGTTTCTTGACGATTTTGAGCTTCTTCTTACTTCTAGAATTTCATTGGTCAAGTTTATTAAAATCACTCATCAAACTTATTTGGATACTATTTAGGACTGGTTTCTTAGGCTTATCCCTGATTAAGTCAAGATTTCTCCTCCCTGTTGTCATCCCTACCGTTTTCAACCCTCCCCCACAAATTAATAGCAATATACCAACTTGTTCAAAAAATGGAACACAACTGGTAGTTCTCATCCGATAATTTTTCTTCAACGTACAAGAAAATTTTATGAAAGGGTTGGAAATTAGGATTCATCTTGCATTCCTAATAGCAAAGACTGGATGGTCGTTTAGTGACTTGACGATGAATAAGTTCCCATTACATACCATTGACTTGAAGTTTTTGACAACATGATGAATAAAGTTCAATAAGATCATATAAATACAAATGACCGAAGAACGTTAAGGTCAACAACTGAAATCAGAAGACGCTTTTAAAAGCAGGCTAAATTCGATTAATGTATGTAATAGTCAAACGAGGTACGCAGCAATATGCAAGTAGCCTTGCCACTACAGGAAATGTGTAATATCTACCATAAAACTTGCTTTACCAGTAATTTGAAAACCCAAGAAACACAAAAACACATATCCACTGGTGACATAATCATGCATCCATCTATAAATTTAACTAACATACTAGGCTTCTCCAATATTTTTCTTAAACTAGGACAAAGAACCAAAGAAGTAATGTAAATAAATACTGAATAAAACAATAGCAAAAAGTGAAGTAGAAGTTGTTGCACAAAAATCAAATACAAAAATAAACTCTTAATTAAAATCTAAATTTTTTTAACTTTTTCACTAATTTATTTTTATGAATCAACAAGATACAAAAGTTAAAATCGAAAAATTTCTCATATTACAGTTGCACAGTCATAAGTGGGTGGAGATGAAGGTAGAAGAGAGAATTTGGTTCGTTTGACTTGGATTGCAAGAATTTTCCCTTTTTATATTTTGTTTGTTTGATAGTGCTATTAAGTGCTTATAAGCTATGAATTCAAAGAAATATATTTATAAGAGCTCTGGCATCCATGGGACAAGCTTAAGCAAGTTAGCCCAACTAGTGAATGGCCCAATCCTATTGCCACCTTACACGACAACTAGTTTTCTCATGTGGCAACAAGAACGAGTAGGAATTATTTGTTGTTGTTGATGATGATGATGATGCACACTCTGTTATATTATAAAAATGAAAATTA